CTATGTTGTCCAGGTTAGTTTCAAACTCTCAGACTCAAGTGGTCCTCCCACCTTGGACTCCCAAAGTGCTGGGATTATGGGTGGAAGCCACTGTGCCTGGCTGTCTCTGGGCTTAGAGAGGCTAAGAGACTTGCCTACAGTCACACAGCTAAGACATGTCACAGAAGGAGCTTGGCTACAATGAAAGAGGAGCAATTCTTAGTTAAAACCTCACAATGTTATAACGATCAAAATAAAAACATAATGAAACCTTTCATTTATATAGTACGGCCTGAAAATGTGGCCTTTTGTACCATGAAATACACATGTCGTAGCGTGGGCATGTGTACATTTTGTGGCTGGGCGCTGAGGGCCTGGGGCACATGCTGGCTCTGTCTGTGAAGCAAATGCTTCTTTCTCAGGCGGACCAAAGGTAGGGCTGAGAGGCTGGGCTCCAGTCAGAAAGCTGGCCGAGAGGGAACATTAGTAACCCCAGGTCACTTCCTGCACAGGACACCTAGGGCCAGCCCAGGCCGCAGCCACTGTCCATACCAGCACCGAGTCTCAGGGGCAGTGCGCAGCCTACCTCCTCTGGGGGGCTGGGCCTCTGGTGAATGGTGTGCCCCCCCCCCGCAGGGGCAGAACCCCATGCCAGCATTCCCGTGGGACCACCCAATAACCCTGTCCCAGCCCTCTCCAATCCATGGACCTTTGGAGGCAGAGCGGGTGGGTGAGGAGCAGACAGCCCTGGGGTGCCACATGACCAGGTCCCCCTGGCTGTCTGCTGTGTCTGATGGTCACTGTTCAGGCCAGCCCAGCAGAGGGAGGCCTCAAACACCTGCGTTGGGGGAGCAGTGGGGTCCTAGGGGAGAGACCAGGAGAGAAACTAAAGCTCTCCAAGCCCTCGGCTGCCCGGATTCCTCAGGCCTGCACATGGCATCAGAACTGGCCCCAGAAGAAGGGCTTGGTGGAGGCTGAAATGTCAGCCTCTGATGGTGATGGCCCTTCAGGGTCACTGAAAGGAAGTGTCCACCCTGGGGGAGCAGTGAGGGGAACTGACTAGAGGAGGCACAAAATCCCAGCTTTGAAAGAATTGAGATGGAAGACCCTGAGAATACCTGGGCGCCCTACGAGGACTTTCACCTCCCAGAAAGCAGATCTGGGGGTCAGGCTGGGCACCGACTGGACCAGCGGGGTGCAGGGCACCAGCTCTGGGCCCAAACATCACAAGTTCAAACACCAGCTCCACCACTTTCTGGGTGAGCAAGCACTTAACCCCTCAGTGACTCAGTTTCCTCATCTGTAAAACAGGAACAATGACCAGACAACCCTCTCCACAGGCTGGGGTGTGACGCGACTGCGTTGACCCCAACTCCAGCTGTGATGATCATCATTCTAGAAGGGCCCCTCCAGCCCACACTCTCATGCAGCCACAGCCCTGGAAGGTCCGAACACACATGTGCACACGCTCGGCTGCACCGCCTCCCCCAGACAAAGCCCTTGTGGGGCCAAGATCAACACACCGGGGTTGGTGAATGACTCACGCACCCCTGGCCAGGACGCGCTTCCTGGAACAAGTCACCACAGGTAGGTCTAGGGGGCTCTCCAAGCCTTAGCAAGGCCCGGAGTGTGGCAGAGAGGAGAGGGTGCAGTCCCAGCATGCCCCAGCCACACCCAGGGGGGAATGCCACATCCCTGTGGCAGAAGTGGGGGGTGGACCTCAGTTTCAGAGCCCCACAGGCCTGGATTCCAAACCCAGCAGCGACCCTGGATAGGTGATTCTTGTCTCCAAGCCTCAGTCTCTGCCTCTGTAAATGGAAACATGAGTGCCGACCTCATAGGGATGATTGTGCAGACTGAAAAAAGTACATCAAATGACATGCAGGGCCAATGTGAGGATATTCGGGTCCTAATAGGCCACAGGCAGCCAAGGTCCTGTTCTTCCCCTGATGTGACTTAAAAAAATTTTTTTTTAATGTTCAGAGATAGGGTCTTGTTCTGTTGTCCAGGCTGGAGTGCAGTGATGCGATCATGGTTCATTGCAGCCTCAAACTCGTAGGCTCAAGTGATCTTCCTATCTAAGCCTCCTGAGCAGCTGGGACCACAGGTGCATGTCATCACGCTTGGAGAATGTTTCGTAGAGATGAGGTCTTGCTTTGTTGCCCAGGCTGGTCTTGAACTCAAGCAATCCTCCCACCTTGCCCCCACAAAGTGGTGGCATTATGGCCATGAGCTACCACATCTGGCCCCTAATGTGCTTTTTTTTTTGAGACAGGATCTCACTCTGTCACCCAGGCTGAGTGCAGTTGTGCAATCTTGGCTCACCACAACCTACACCTCCCAGGCTAGGCTCAAGCGATCCACCCACCTCAGCCTCCTGGGTAGCTGAGACCACAGGCATGTGCCACCATGCCCAGTTACTTTCCTATTTTTTGCAGAAATGGTGTTTCATCATGTTGCCCAAGCTGGTTTTGAACTCCTAGGCTCAACTGATGCATCTGCTTTGACCTCTCAAAGTGCTGGTATTACAGGCATGAGCCACGGTGCCTGGCCCCAACGTGCTTTTAAAGTCATCAGTGGGAAAAGTCACTCAGGAATGGTCACCACAACTTGACGGAGAGGTAGACAAAGGATGTAGCTCATGACTTCATTGTCTTTGGAAAGCAAAGAGATGGAGTTTATCTGAAGAGGGGCAATCCCAGAGGGCTTCTCACAGGAGGTGGCATTAACGTGGGCTCTGAAGGATCAATAAGAGATCCTAGACCTGAGATCTGGGAGGCCACTGTCCAGCTGTTACAAGCTTGGGCAAACCACTCCCCTGAGAGCATGCAGGTGAGCAGCATATGCCTCATGCAGGTAAAATAAGGCCAGGAACCTGTGACTTGAGAGCAAATGCCCATCAGGCATTTCGAATCACACCCTTTCGAAATGTAGTCCCAGCTATTTGGGAGGCTAAGGTAGGAGGATCACTTGAGCCGGGAGTTCCAGCCTGAGGTGAGTTAGGATCACACCTGTATTCCAGCCTGGGCGACAGAGTGAGATCCTGTGAAATTCCATTTGACCCAGCAATCCCATTACTGGGTATATACCCAAAGGACTATAAGTCATTCTACTATAAGGACACATGCACACGAATGTTTATTGCAGCACTGTTTACAATAGCAAAGACCTGGAATCAACCCAAATGCCCATTGATGATAGACTGGATTGGGAAAATGTGGCACATATACACCATGGAATATTATGCAGCAATCAGAAATGATGAGTTCGTGTCGATTGTAGGGGCATGGATGAATCTGGAGAACATCATTCTCAGCAAACTGACACAAGAACAGAAAATGAAACACCGCATATTCTCACTCATAGGCGGGTGATGAAAAATGAGAACACATGGACACAGAGAGGAGAGTACTAAACACTGGGGTCTATTGGGGGGAAAAGGGGAGGGACAGTGGGAGGGGGAGGTGGGGAGGGATAGCCTGGGGAGAAACGCCAAATGTGGGTGAAGGGGTGAAAGCAAACAAAACACACTGCCATGTATGTACCTATGCAACTGTATTGCATGCTCTGCACATGTACCCCAAAACCTAAAATGCAATAAAAAAATAAGAATAAAAATAAAAATTAAAAAAAAAAAAGCACTCACTAAATGGGCTGTGGTGATAAAGTAGAGCTAAGGTGGGGACAGGCAGGAGAAACAGTGGAGACAGAGCAGCAGAGGGGACACCTGCAAGCAGAGCCCAAGGAGCCACAGAGGCCCTGCTAGGTGACACTTTTCCTGTGAAGGGCACATCCCCAGGGACAGGCACACCAGGCCACGCGACCTCAGATAAGACCCTTTATTGGCTGGGCGCAGTGGCTCAAGCCTGTAATCCCAGCACTTAGGGTGAGGCGGGTGGATCACGAGATCAAGAGATTAAGACCATCCTGGTCAACATGGTGAAACTCCGTCTCTACCAAAAATACAAAAAATTAGCTGGGCACGGTGGCACGTGCCTATAATCCCAGCTACTCAGGAGGCTGAGGCAGGAGAATTGCCTGAACCCAGGAGGTGGAGGTTGCGGTGAGCCGAGCGAGATTGTGCCATTGCACTCCAGCCTGGGTAACAAGAGCGAAACTCCGGCTCAAAAAAACAAAACAAAACAAAAAGCTTTATCTACTTCCCTGAGCCTACATTTTTATAGGTGAGAAGCCGGAGCTGGCCAGGCACAGTAGCTCACACCTGTAATCCCAGCACTTTGGGAGATCGAGGGCAGATCACTTGAAGTCAGGGCTTCGAGACCAGCTGGTGAAACTCTGTCTCTACTAAAAATACAAAAATTAGCTGGGCATGGTGGTGTATACCTGCAATCCCAGCCACTCGGGAGGCTGAGGTAGGAGATCACTTGAACCCAGGAGGTGGAGTTTGCAGCGAGCTGACATCACGCCGCTGCACTCCAGCTTGGGTGACAGAGTGAGACCCCATCTCAAAACAAAACAAAAGAAAACAAAATAGAACAAAAGGGACACATGATCCTTCCTTCCTTTCGGGGCCATGGGGAGGATCCCAGGATGTCAGAGGAGAGGTGAGGAAGTGCAAGGCCTTTGCAGGCCACAAAGAGCCACACGCCAGGGAGATGCCTGTCCCCCTGCCCCGGCTCCTCAGGTCAGCTCGAGGCTGACTCCTGCCTCAGGAAGGGAAACCTGGCCAGAATTCTGGATGTCATCCTGGTCACTGTCCCTAAGTGTGCAAGGATGGGCAGGAGGGCAGGGGCTGTTTCTGTTCACTACAGTAACCCCAGATAGCACTCAGCAAACAGTAGGCACCCAATAAAAATGGTGGATGAACACACGAACAGTCACAGCCCAGGGTTCACGTGGGACAGGGAAAGGCTGAGGTGCCCAGACCCATTTCCCTTCTGCAGAAGTGAAATGCGCCCCCTGAACTCTGCTTCCTGAGTGCTCCTCCCCACGCTGGGATCTGCGGAGGGAAGGGGGAGGGGGAGGGGCCCTCCGCTCACTTCTCGGGGCAGGATACTCACGTTCCCGAAGGATGGGAGCCCTCCGGATCCCAGCCACCTCCGGAGGGCCTGTGGGAAGGCCCCATGGTCCCGCTCAGCCTGAAGCACGTCTGCTTCCAGGAAGGCGACGTGGCGTCCAACCATCTTGACGAAGGCCTGGGAGACAGGGAGAGGCTGGGATACCGCATCTGTGCAGCCTGGAGCCCATTCCTGGCCACATTCCCTAGGCTGGTGGGGACTCCAGGCCTCCCTCCAGCGGAGCTTCCCGCAAGGCCAGCAGGGCCTGCTTAGCTGGAGGGGCACTGTAGCAACCCTGACGACGGGTCACAGCTCCGCTGGTGACCTCTTGCCTTCTCCCCAGTGACCCTCTTCTTAGCCTCCATGTTACACAGGAGGGGAATCAAGGCTCACAGAGGCTGGGCACCTGCTGGAAGTCACAAAGTCAGAAAGTGGCGGGGGGCGGTCTCAGGGCACATTCATCAGATTTCAAAGCCTTCCATGTTAAAAGGTGACTTTTACAGAAACAGCCCAAATGCTTATTTGTACTTTTCATCTACATTAAGGACACACAAATGCTCATTTGAATAGCGGATGTGCTACATATGGGAACTCAGAAGCCACCAAGTGCCAGGCAGGAAACAAGCAGGTAAAGGGGCTTAATGGGAACCAGGGTCAGCCAGAAAGCTGAGTCCAGGCCAACAGGGACCACTCAGCTCCAGGCCTCAAGAGCAGAGCTGCCGGTTTCAAGAATAAAAAAGGGCGCGGTGGCTCATACCTATAACCCCAGCACTCTGGGAGGCCAAGGTGGGCAGATCACCTGAGGTCGGGAGTTCAAGACCAACTTGGCCAACATGGTGAAACTTCATTCCTACAAAATACAAAAAGTAGACGGGAGTACTGGTGGGCACCTGTAATTTCAGCTACTCGGGAGGCTGAGGCAGGAGAATCACTTAAACCCAGGAGGCAAAGGTTGCAGTGAGCCGAGATCACACCATTGCACTCCAGCCTGGGTGACAGAGTGAGACCCCATCTCAAAAAAATAATAAAAAAAAAAAAAACAGGCCGTGCGCAGTGGCTCAGGCCTGTAATCCCAGCACTTTGGGAGGCCAAGGTAGGCCGATCACCTGAGGTCAGGAGTTCTAGACCAGCCTGGCCAACATGATGAAATCCCGTCTCTACTAAAAATATAAAAACTGGCCGGGCGTGGTAGCAGGCACCTATAATCCCAGCTACTTGGGAGGCTGAGACAGGGGAATCATTTGAACTTGGGAGGTGGAGGTTGCAGTGAGCCGAGATGGTGCCTCTGCACTCCAGCCTGGGCAACAAGAATGAAACTCCGTCTCAAATACAAATAAATAAATAAATAAGATAAGATAAAAATAAATAAAAAAGAATTCTGGCTGGGCATGGTAGCTCATGCCTGTAATCTCAACACTTTGGGAGGCTGAAGACGGGTAGGATCACTTGAGGCCAGGAATTTCAGCTTGGGCAACATAGTAAGACCCCAAAAACTTGGTTCTCTACCAAAAACTGAAAATTAGCCAGGCATGGTGGCATGTGCCTGTAGTTCCAGCTCCTCAGGAGGCTCAGGATCACTTCAGCCCAGGAGTTCAAGGCTGCAGTGAGCTCTGATCAGACTATCTGGATTAGAATCCAAATTCTACCTCTCAATAATTGTGTGCCTTTTAGCAAGTTACTTAACTTCCATTAGCCTCAGTTTCATTATCTGAAAAATGGGGATTAAAAACAGTAGGAACCCTGGCCAGGTGTAGTAGCTCTCATGCCTACAATCCCAGCACTTTGGGAGGCCAAGGCAGCTGATCACTCGAGGCCAGGAGTTTGAGACCAGCCTGGCTGTCATGGCAAAACCCAGTCTCTACTAAAAATACAAAAAAAAAATTAGCTGGGTGTGGTGGCTCATGCCTATAATCCCAGCTACTCGGGAGGCTGAGGCACAAGAATCACTTGAACCCAGGAGGCAGAAGATGCAGTGAGCTGAGATCGTGCCACTGCATTCTAGCCTGGGTGACAGAGCAAGACTTCATCTCAAACAAACAAACAAACAAACAAATAAACCACTATCCTTATTCAACAAGTAGAATGTTTAGCACATATTAAGAGCTCATCAAATCTCAGACACTATGATTTTTAAAGGACATTCGGATTTTATGAAAAATCCTGTTTTATTCAATGTTATCAATGAATCTACACTTTAAAAAAAGGCTGTGCAGGCTTAGTAAAATTTAACTCACCCATTTGTGACCTCTGGTGTGTGTCTTTTCATACCTGTCTCTGTGCTCAGCACCTCTGGGCACATGTCAGTGTGTGTGTGTGCGTGTGTGTACACGGCTAAAGGCAGCAGAGGGAGCGACTACAGTGCCATCTCAGACAAGGCAGTGCCTCTGTGGCCTGCTTTGTTCCATTAGTAAAATAGAAAAGATTTTCTCATACCAGGAACAGGAATGAGGACACCTCAGTGCAGGCTGCTTCCGGGAGTGCCTCCCCTTCAATAATAGCATGAAATACAGTCCTCTCAAGGCCTGCCAGGCCTCCTGCCATCTAGCCCTGCCCTTCCTTCTCCCTTCACGTGCTTTCCTTTGGATCCTTTAAAGTGCCCAGCCTCACCCTACAGGGCCTCTGCATCTGCATGCCCTGATTGCAGCACCTGCTCTCCTTTCTCCATGGGGTGCGGCCCTGCTTGTGAGTGTGGTTTTATTTTGAGATGGTCTCGCTCTGTTGCCCAGGCTGGAGTGCAATGGCGTGATCTTGGCTCACTGCAACCTCTGCCTCCCAGGGTCAAGTGATCCTCCTGCCTCAGCCTCCCAAGTAGCCAGATTACAGGCATGCACCACCATGCCCAGCTAATTTTTTGGAGACGGAGTTTTGCTCTTGTTGCCGGGCTGGAGTGCAATGGTGCGATCTTAGCTCACCACAACATCCACCTCCCAGGTTCAAGTGATCTACTGCCTCAGCCTCCCGAGTAGCTGGGTTTATCGGCATGCACCACCACACCCAGCTAATTTTGTATTTTTACAAAATGTTTCTCCATGTTGGTCAGGCTGGTCTCAAACTCCAGACCTCAAGTGATCCACGCGCCTCAGCCTTCCAAAGTGCTGGGACTACAGGTGTGATCCGCCAACCCCAACCTGAAATGCTTATCTATTCAGGGTCCATGCCCTTTAGAAGGTGGAGCTGCTGAGTCAGCACTGCTCAGAGGCCAAGACCAGACCCGGGCCCATATGGATGGTGGATGCATGAATGCACACGTGCATGAATGAATGAGTGAATAAGGGAATTAGTGCATCCTTAGCAAAACGACATTGGATGAACCCAAGATGGAGGCTTCTCTTGTGCTGGGGCCGCCCTGGGGTTCTGACTGCAGAGGGGCTGAAAGGCTGAATTAGCTACGTCGTGTGTGTGTGTGTGTGTGTGTGTGTGTGTGTATGTGCAGATGTATGCCTGTGTGTATGTGTGTGTGTGTGTGTATGCAGATGTATGCCTGTGTGTATGTGTGTGTGTGTGTGTGTGCAGATGTATGCCTGTGTGTATGTGTGTGTATGTGTATGTGCAGATGTATGCCTGTGTGTATGTGTGTGTGTGTGTGTGTGTGTGCAGATGTATGCCTGTGTGTATGTGTGTGTGTAGAGGTGGGTGGGTGGGAAATGGTCCAGGAAGCATCTGACAAGGGCTCCAGCCTCAGAGGCCTGGCTCAGCCAGCACATATGGTTGTAAAACTCAGACGAAAGTCCCAACTACCCTTCCTCCAGCGGATTCCAATTTTATGCTCCCCGCGTTAATACCAATCTGGTGGAGAGTGTGAGGCGATGCCGAGGAATGCGTGCTCGTGATGTCTGAACCGTCTCCAAGATGCCTGCCAGCAAGGCCAGCCCAGCAGAGCTGAAGCCAGAGAGGCCGAAACCTGGGCCAGGGCAGCCCCAACTCTGGCGAGAGGAGACGCACACGTCCACCTGCACAGCCAGGCTGTGGTGGCTGCTGGTGAGTGACAGGTCCCAACACACATCTCGGCCACCCAGAGGGCTGGGTGCATGATTGATTTCTGATATTTTCCTCTTCAATAAAAATGGACTACTTTATAATCAGCTGAGAGGGAGGGAAGGAGGAAAGCTTCATTGTTTAAAAATATATAGGCAAGAGGCCGGGCGCGGTGGCTCAAGCCTGTAATCCCAGCACTTTGGGAGGCCGAGGCGGGTGGATCACGAGGTCAACAGATCGAGACCATCCAGGTGAACATGGTGAAACCCCGTCTCTACTAAAGATACAAAAAATTAGCTGGGCATGGTGGCGCGTGCCTGTAATCCCAGCTACTCAGGAGGCTGAGGCAGGAGAATTGCCTGAACCCAGGAGGCGGAGGTTGCGGTGAGCCGAGATCGCGCCATTGCACTCCAGCCTGGGAAACAAGAGCAAAACCCCGCCTCAAAAAAAAAAAAAAAAAAAAAATATAGGCAAGTATTGAGGAATTTAAACACGTCCCCTCCCACCCCCGATACAGGGGTCTTGCCATGTTGCCCAGGCTGATCTTGAACTCCTGGGCTCAAGGGATCCTCCCACCTTGGCCTCCCAAAGTGCTAAGATTATAGGCCAAGCCACCATGCCTGAAGAATGTGAAGACTTCCTTCTGGGCGCTGTGGCTCACATCTGCAATCCCAGCACTTTAGGAGGCCAGGGTGGCAGACCAACAAGGTCAGGAGATCAAGACCATACTGGCTAACATGGTGAAACCCCGTTTCTACTAAAAATACAAAAAAAACGAGCCGGTTATGGTGGCACGCACCTGTAGTCCCAGCTACTTGGGAGGCTGAGGCAGGAGAATTGCTTGAACCCAGAAGGCGGAGGTTGTGGTGAGCCAAGATTGTGCCACTGCACTCCAGCCTGGGTGACAAAGCAAGACTCCGTCTCAAAAAAAATTAGCTGGGCATGGTGGTGGGCATGAGGTTGAGGCTAGGAAGTGTGATTGCACCACTGCACTCCAGCCTGGATGACAGAGCGAAAACTTGTCTTTAAAAAAAAGGTTTTTATTAATACAACTGATAAAGGTCGAGTTCTGGCTGAGAGGTCACCTCATGATTTCCAAGCTCTCACCTGGCAGGTCACACTGATTCTGAGGGCAGCACTCTGTGGAAACCACTGATACCCTA